TTTTTTTCAACGCAATTTTATGGAGGTTTTTCTGTCATTTACATGTAAGTGTATGTGATTTCCATTACTGTAATGTGCTCGTGAACATCGAATGAAACGAGCGCAATATAGATTAAATGAATTATTAATTATTATTATTATTAAGATGTGACAAAGAGGTCAACGTGACAGAAACGTGCCCGTCACCTTTTACTTTATACCCAGCTGTACATTTACCGGTACATGTACGTCGTAAGTACATCTACGTGTACCAGGTACATGTACATTGTGCCCATGGATGTAAATTCTATATGTGGCACTTAAATTAAAAGCATATACATGTACATGTAGGTACATCCACCGGGTACATATTAATTGTGCCCATGGATGTTAACTGTGTACGTGCCACTTACATGTACATTAAAAATATATGTTCATGTACTATCATATGCCATGTACGTGTACATATGTGTAGTATACATGTACATGTATGTTGTATGCGCTATAGCTCACAGGTACCGCCACTCTGTCTTGCAATGGATAGGGTACTAGCCTTGGCCCAACTGGCCTGTACAGCATAGCACATGTACATGTACAGTATGTATGTGGTTCCATTTCTACACATATTACGTATTCTCTACGTGCGAGTATAATGCTCCCTCTGACATGCACGCACAAGGCCCACAGAGATGTTGACAAGTGGGTGTTTGATCACTTTCACCTCTGTTTCTAGCCGAGATGATCCGTGGGCAAGGTAAGACTGCTCATGGACGTGATTATGCGGTCCTACAGTACCATACATGTGTACATATGTACAGTGTTTATGTATGGGCATGCACGTGTCTGTATGCATGTATCAAGGGGGTTGAAGTTTGGGGGAAGATTTACACAAGGCCACGGCCCACACTCTCTAGGGCTCCTTGCTCGAGAATGACATTAAACTGGGGGTATATTGAGTAGGAGTGTCAAAATAACCGTGGATGCTTAGGCCTAATTGTGTGAGTCAGAGATGCACCCTTATTTATGGGCCTGTTCGTTCCGATCATGCGGATCTGGATCTCGATCAGTGATCCTAACGCTGGTTCGCACCACTAAGCAGTGTTGTAGTCGAGTACTTTCCGAGTACCAACATTCTCCGCACAATACTGAACTGAGTAAGAGGGAATAAAGCCAGAGTGCACAGGCATTTCATGGTAAATGTGCAGAGGTAAGATTACAAAATAAATGTTAGACTTCAAACACTCCCAGATGTGTAAAATTTAAGTATTAAGGAGAAATGTACTCGGAAAGTACTCGGCCGAGTACTTTCTGAGTACTTTTGTCCTAAAAAGTTAATTGTAATCAAACAGTGATGGTCT